AACCTGACTCTTAAAATTAAAACAAAACAGAAAAATGAAAACAGAAGAGGATGTCGCTCAAAGGTAGAGTGTTACCTAGTATGTGAAGGCCCTGGTTTGGATTCCCCAGAAACCCCAGCCCCCAAAGAAAAAGAGCTGGGCAGCGAGGATTCAAGGAGGAGGGGGAGCTGAAGGACGGCTCAGTCTGTCAAATGCTTACTGTGCAAGCATAAGGACTGAGTCCAGAGCCCCAGCTCCCACATGAAGAGCTAAATGTGATGACACACAACTTGTCCTCTAAGTGCTGGGGATGCAGAGACAGGAGGATCCCTGGGGTTTGCTGACCACCTAGTTTACCCAAATCAGTGAGGAACCCTGTCTCCAGGTTCAGTGAGAGAGCCTGTCTCAAAAACTCCTGAGGAGAGTGATTGAGGAAGACACCTGACCTCTGCCTCTGGCCTCTACACAAGCACAGGGAAAGACAACTTGGGGCTTGCTTCCCGGCAGTTCAGGGAGGTGGTCCTTGGCCTGATTGTGTGTAGATGAGCCGTGGGTCCCTTTGAGAAATGAATCCGAGTTCACTGTGGTCTTGCTTCCAGAAATTACTTTCTCACTCCCCATGGGGATCTTGACAGAGGTAAAAAGCCATTCACTTCTTTTCTCTGTTGTGTGACCAATGACCCCAACATACCCTACCCAAGCTCCAGTATGTGCTAGAAAGAGGGCTTAGTTCTCCAGCTTGAACCTTAGGGATTATCTCATGGGAATACTATCTTATCCAGCTATCATCTACCCATGCATTCAGTCAACATCCATCTGTTGGGTACCAGCTTTTGATGAAGCGTGGTCTGGTAGAGGCCCCTCACAGCACATAAGAGAAGATGCAGTGCGGTATGATTGATACATACCTTGATGGAGTTGATCCAGGGCACTGAACAGGGGCCCTGCCTCACCCTGTCTGTGCTGAGGATTCACAAAGCAAGTTCAGTCTTCATCTGAGACTTGAAAGATCAACAAGACTGAACCAGTAAAGTAGGGAGGAGGAGACACAGACAATGTGCCTAAACGACACAGAGCATGGGAACTTCCTGGAGACTAGGGAATACAGAGCCCTGCTAGGGATCTGAAAACAGAATCTGGCTTATTGAGTGAGAGGCAGGGATGATGAGGACCAAGCCTAGGAGCAAAGCCAGCAATGGGTCCCACAGGACCATTTAATCACCTGCAGAGCACTTTGTCAGGTGTAGGGTTAGGGGTGGATATGAATATTTATAAACTACGTTGTGTGGACCCAGTGGGAGAGGCGATAGAAGATGCCAGGATGGTCAAGGATCCTCCGAGCTGTAGCTGGACACCCACGCCTCACTCCCTTCTTCCTACCCTCTCAGAGCAAGCTGGTCTGTGGGAAGATGCTTCTCTCGGTGAGGAAGTGGTTTTCCTGACAACAGCCCCAAGCACCCTCCCAGCTTCCCTGATCTGTGGTCCAGTCTTGGCCCTTGAGAACATACTTGCCCTCTTCTCTCAAGATGTGGTGGCTTCATCTGGCCTTCTCTGCTCTGGACTGCACAGTTCCATGTCCTACGAATCATTTCAAGTGTTGGTGTATCTAGCCTTCCCTAACATTCTCGGGGCTTCATTGGGACCTTTGAATGTCCTCCCCACACCTGTCCAGGTATGAACTTGCCAAGAACCACCTTTGCCTCCCCCCGCCCCTCAGTCCAGATCTACTTCCAGCTTATCAGCCATTTACTTTTGAGGACATGCCATCTCTTACAATCTGTGCACATCTCCTATCCCCCTAGACTTTCAGTTGTCTCTGATGGCCTTCTCCAGGAAGGCCACTGGGTAAAGCACGAGGCAGGTGTTACCTGATTCTGACTTTCCCCTAAGATAGGACACAAGGTTGGCCCAGGCAAGGCCCCCAGCAAAGACTGAAGAAGGCTGGTCTCCTACTTATATTGCCCATGATCCATCAGAAGTCATACGGAACATTTACTGAAGGAGGGCATGGTGGCAGGGCTTCGAAAATGAAAAAGGCCTTGCAGGTGGGGCCCTGGCTTAGTTGCTAAGCAAGGAGTGAGTTCTTGTGATATGTGTGACAGCTGGAGGCTTCCCACTACCCTTGGGACGCTGACTTTGAGATAAATTAATCATGGGGTTGAGGTGCCTAGGTCCTTCTGATTCAGTCATTTTCCAGGACTGAACCTCAAAAAGAGCATCAGAGGAGGAGGCTGGAGAGATGTCTCAGTAGTTAAGAGCACTGCCTGCTCTTGCAGAGTTCTGAGGTTCAGTTTATAACCATCCAGAACTCCAGTTCCAGGGAACCTGATGCTCTCTTTTGAAGAGCAGGCATGAACGTGAACAGATGACATACATGCAGCAAAACGCTCATATGCCTGAAATAAATAAATCTAAAATACATTTGTTTTTAAAGGACCGGCAGCAGCAGGGCTGGAGAGATGGCTCATTCGGTAAGGCACTTGCCACACAGCCACGAGCACTTGAGTTCACCCCAGCATCCCTCTAAATAATACTAATAGTAATCTGGGCTAGAGTACACACCTGTAACCCCAGTGTTGGAGTACAGAGGAGGATCTCAGGGACTCACTGGCCAGTCAGACTAGCCTCGTCATCAGCTCCAGACCAGCGAGAGACCCTGTCTTTAAAAACAAGATCGGACAGCTGCTAAGGAATGACATCTTGGGTTGATCTCTGGTCACATGTATGTGAGCACTCACACACATCCACATGTCTATACACACATGCACACACATGCATGCATAACCACACACACACCAAAAGAAGAGGAGGAGGGATAGGAGGAGAAAAAGGGAGAGGATCAACCAAGGCCCCCAAAGTCCGTGGCATGGAAGAGGATTATTGGGAGAAACAGTTTAAACAGTAGCCCACTATGGGAAATACTGAGTTCTGTCCCAGCTCCATCAAAGTAGTCCAGAACAATGGAGATGACTGAACCAAGGGCATAGGCAATACCGGAAAATTAACCTGACTTCCTTTATGCCCATGCTGGGTGACACCAGACAGTTGACCTCACTGCTCTGAGCCTACGCTTTAGGCTGGTGTGGAGGAGAATTAGGGTACAGATTTTACAAGTCGTAAATGTTGTTCTTGGTGGAAGAGAGCCCAGCCTGGTGGCTGTGGTGGCTCCTCCAGAGCCCTGGGCCATGGGAGAGGCTTCCTTCTAGGAGAACTAGAATCAGGGTATTGTCCTGCGCATCTGAAACTCTTTGTCTGCGGTCCTGCCTTCTCTTGCTCACTTTGGTAGCTCTGCGGGAGTAGCCAGGCCTGGGAGCTGGCTGCTGTTTGTGTTATTGTAACTTCTCATCCGTCCTGGCTCTGCAACCCGGACCCATTCACACCTCCGCAATCATCTTGCAAGGCATTGGGGGTGTCTCTTACACAGACCGCCCCCACCACCACCACTGGGTCCAGGAGTGCGTTGGTGGCCTAACAGCCTGAAAACATGACTGACAGCTGTCAATCCCATCCTCTGAGGTGCACCGTGTGGCTTTACTGTCCTCAGCTCTACACACATGTCTTTGTCAGACTGTGTCCCCACCTAAAACAGTCTCTCTGGCACCCTACCTTCTTAGCCTGGCACCCACAGGTCACCATACTGTGATGTGATCAGAAATACCCATCCAACACCTACTGTGTGCAGTGTGGGGCCAGGAGGGATAAGGGCACATGAGAGACATTTCCAGCTAGATGCTGCACACTGCAGTATGCACCCCAGCACTCCCCCCCCAGCACACCCACTGCCTGCTCACCACCATCTAAGTCCCACTTTGCCCTTCCCTGCTGTGTCCTGTGCCCCACCTCCTCCTGCCCTGTGACCACACTCTAGAGCCTGGACCCACACAGGCTCTCCCCGAGGCATCCTTGTTGGGATGTCTCCAGTGCTCACTCTTTTCCCAAGCTCCCACACAGGGTTGGCACCCCCCACCTTGGGGTACTTACAGAACATATTTGAAGTTTGCCTGGCTCTGTGTCTTCAGGCCTCAGTATTCCCACTTATAAAATGGAACAGTAACCACCTAGTGGTGGGAACTAAATGCTGGGGACATCAGGCCCTCATGTGCAGCATGTTAATCTCTGTATCCTCAACACCAAACAGTGCCCATGACTGGTGCCAAAGGCTTTGTGGGGTAGATATCTGGCTGATGTATGAAATGACTGAATATGTAAATAGAATATGAAGCAATATTTGCTGTTTTCCCATGGCAGTTAGGGGGTGGGGACCAGGAAGATTCTGAAAGAAACTAATCTTTATTGTCTACCTATCACACATCAATGCTCAGCATACACAAGAAAAGATTACTGCAGAATGAGGAAGCGGTTGGTGGCTAGAGTAAGTCAGTGGGCCAGTCTCGTGCAAGGGTACGAAGAACTTGTGACTTTGACAGACTCCTTGATAACTACAAGGAGGGGGCATGCTTGCTTGCTAGCTAGCCAGATGCCCCTAGGCCTCCCAGGACCGATCTTAGGCTTTGGAACTCCTGAGGACGGGATGCCTGGGTAGGCAGGGTAGGGGCAACGCCCAGCTCCAAGGGTCATGTGTCAACTGCTCAGCTGGAGAACTTGGCTTTGGGTATCCAAAGGCTGGAGGTGGGCTGGGCTGGAGGGAGTGCTTGGCTCCTGTCCTGTACAGCCCTGGCTGGGGGCTCTTCAAGCCCAGTGCCCCCAGCAGCCTCTGTGCCCAGCAGGAGTGAAGTCTGGGCAGCTTTCCTCCGGTAACCTGAAGCTTTTCATTCTTGTCTTTCCTTCCCTGGCCGCGCTAAGTCTTCCTGGTTGTTACGCCTCGTCCCTCCTCCTTACTCCCACCTCCTGATTCCAAAAACACTCTGATTGCCAGGGTGGGTCAATGGTTAACACTCAGCTGCCTTTATATAAGCTGCCCCGGGCCACCTACTGTTCACAGCCTCTTCAGTCCTTCAGTTTCCGAGACTCCTGGAGGCAGCTGCTGTAGCAGCCTCAGCCCCCACCGGCTGGTCCGCGCTATGGCCACCTGCTGGCAGGGCCTATGGGCCTATCGCTCCTACTTGATTGTACTATGTCTGCCCATTTTCCTGTTGCCTCTGCCAATCATTGTCCAAACTAAGGTAAGGACTGCTGGGTCTCCCTTGGCATAGGTAACTCTAGAGGCGGCAGGGAGAGATCATTGGGGCCAAAGAGGGGGCATCCTTAGGATTCCCTTTTCACTTCCTCTCCCCAAAAAGTGAGGCCACCGCCTCCTGGTCTTCCCGGGAGCCAAGGGTGGTTTCTGCAGGGCATTCAGCACCCAAAGTCCCTGTGCCAATTGCTCGGGGACATTGGAGCTCGCTGGTTTGAGGACCGAAAGGCAGTTGCCTAAAGGAAATGCAGGATCGGACGGATGAGTTTCTCTAACTACTGTGTGTTCCCTCAGCCTGAGCTCAGTGCCAGCCAGGGACAGGAAGAGGCAAGAGCTTTTGAGAAGGAGAGTAGGAGAGAGCTGGCCTCGGGCAGTTATGCCTTCCCAGGTAGAAATAGAATAAGTAACTGACCTGTAAACATACAGAAATCCATAATTTTTAGTGAAATGATCCCGGAGCTTTGGGAAGGAAGCCCCCAAGAGGTCATACCTTCACTTGGCAGTCTAGCTGCCTTTGCAAACGGCGTGGATTGAAAAGGCAGAGCTGGAGGTGTGGCCCTGTCTCTAAGGCTGATATTGAGTCTTGGCCCTGGACCATCCCACGCCCCCAGGACTGCCCAATGAACCACTACTTACTGCTACAGATAGGGAAATCAAGGAAGGCCTTTAGGTTATGTTATCTCTGAGGAAGGAGGCCCAGGATATGGCCCCCAACACCTGCCTAGCCATAAAGCCTGACTGATTTTTGAGATGACCTTCTCAGACCAAAACCAGTGGCGTCTCTATGCCGGGAATCTATCAGCTAGATTCCAGACAGGCTGGGACATGTGTGGCAGCACCACCATCCTGAGAGAAGCACACACAGCTCGGAGAGAGGGTCACAGGGTGGAGAAAGCCCGAGTGGGTGTGGGAAGCTGTGTCTCTTGGTGGAAATACAGTGTGTTAGGAACTCCAGAGTTTGCCCACTGTGCCTGGCTGGCCCTGCCACCTGCCTCTGGCACACAGGCTCTGCTTACCCTCTCTTGACTCAATCGACGATCCTGAGAGACCAGGCCCACCTCTGGGCCTTGGGTCCCCACCCCACTCAGGAATTCTCTTTCTATATGATCAATTTTGCCTTCCCTGCTTGACCGAGCCCATCAGCATATAAATAAGCTATTATGTGTCTCATGTGGAACAAACAAGACCTTTTCCTTCAGCTCCCATTTACTCCTTCTCTGGTCCCGCCTTCCTCCTCTATGTCGTTCCTATCAGCAAGCCTCAGTGTGCCTGAATGCATACCCATGTGCTTTCTCCCATCTCCTCTGACTCTGCTATTCAAATTCCCATCAGCTTCCAGGGTCCCAACCCAAAGCCCATTCTTACCTTTCTCAACCCTGCAGCAGGATTTGTCCCAGCTGGTCACACCCTCTTTACCATGTTGTCTTCACTTGACTTCGATGACACCTCATTCTGCCTTCCCCACATGCCATTCCCAGGCTCCTTCTCCACCAGACTCTCTCTCTGTGGGTTTCCCAGCACCCCTCCTGTGCCCCTCCCCCCCGCACCCCTCCCTACTCCGGGCCAGGTAATTGTATGCTGTCTCATGATTTGAAAAGCATCTCCCTAGCCAGGTGTGGTAGTGCGCACCTCTAATCTCAGCAAGGCCGAGAAACAGCAGGATCATGAGCTCAAAACCAGCCTGAGTGGTGAGAACTTACCTCAAAAACAAAACAAGAACCCCACCCACCACCCCTAAGTGTCTCTGTGCCCACAAGTCCTGGAGGATCCTACTCTAGCCTCTACAACTGTATTAGCCCGTTAACTCGGTCCACACGGATATTTCTCTGTATGAAGCCTGTGCTTCTCCCCATCCAACTCGAAGCTCAGACTGCCATCTCCAGAAGACTCTTCCCACAGTCTTACTGAGAAATGTGTCAACTTACTTCCTTTCAATGCCAGCCATGACTCAGGTCATTCTGGATGGTCACTTTGCTCCATCTGCTCACACACCAGCAGGGCCTGTGCACTCACTGTCCCCTCAACACCCGATAAATGTTTCCAATTTATGATCGGACCGAGTGCCAGTAAACTCACCCTAGGTTGATACTTTTATAAGTGGAAAACACACTGAGTGTGCCTACTAACACCCACCCACTAACCACAGCCTTGCAATGCAGCTTGGGGGTAGGCATGGTTTGTAGCTCTTCCTTACTCTGCCCAGCAGCTGTGGTTTGCTACCACCACCCCATATCACCTCAGATGATCTTACTTACCACAAGTCACCAGTCTGGGGAAAGATCAGTACGTCACCTTTGCACCTCCCTAAAATCAGGAAATCATAGGTGGAACTGTCAGAAGTCTGGGAGACCTGTGTTCTGAATGGCAACAGTCCCCACCTGGGCAGTCTCTCTACTCTGTCTTTTATCACCTGTCACTGGCTGCCTGACATCACCTACCACCCTACTGTCAGGGGGATCCCCAAGACCTCCTGCCAACTCCATACTGCCTTCCCATTAAACTTAGAAATCAAGTTTACTTAACTTAAGATGCCCAGTCCCTGAGGCTCCACACCGGCAGACCAGTCACCCAGACTCCTTTCCCGCATCTCACCTCTACTACCTGGGGCTCCTCTCTGCTTGGGCTCTTCTCCCAGAAGCATTCTTCTCCTTTACAGTTCCACTTAAATCTGTTTCAGAAGCTCTCTGCCCCACACTAGTCATTCTGGCATTTTATTTACAGAGCAGTCCCTGTTTAAAAGAATGTGTCTGGGGCTGGGGATGTGGCTCCGTGGGTAGAGAGTGTTTGCCTAACATGTATGAAGCCCTGGGTTAGTCCCCGGCACTGCAGAAACAGCGTGGTGGCACACTCCTGCAATCACAGCGGTTGGGACACAGATGATCAGAAGTTCAGGGTCATCCTTAACTACACAATGAGTTTAAAGCTAGCCTGGGATTTATGAGGTCATGTCTCAAAAAACAAAAAAAACAAAAAACAAACAAACAAAAAACTTGTATATTGGTTTACTTTCTTCCTATTTTTTGAGGCTGGGACTTTGGCTGACTCTCTGCAGACTCCCATGGCCAGGTGTATCCAAGATGCCCAGAAAATACTTGTTAGGTAAATAAATGAAGGGATGTGGGGAAAGGGAAAACATTTCCTGAGTTCCTATTGAGTCTTACTCTCTGTAATTAGCCCATGAACTTAAACTTAGCCTCCCAGCCGAGGCAGGTCCAAGCCCCTCCCTGCCACACCAAGGCTGCACAAGGTGCCACACCGCAGGCACCGGGCTCCCAAAAGCCTGCCCATGCACCAAGGATGGATCCTGATCCCCCCACCCCACCTGGGTGTCCCCCAAACAGTTTAGGCTAAACAAGCTCTGCTGACTCCCCCTGGGAGACCTTGATTTGGAGAACATGGGGATGGGGTGTGGCTTGGGAGGGAGGGCTGGGGGTGGGAGGAGGGAGGAGGTGGGATCTGTGGGTGGTATGAAGGGTGAATAGAAAATTTCTTAATAAAAATTAATAAATTAATAAATAAAAGAAAAAAACAAATATTGAATATAGTACTTAACATAGTCCAAGTACTTTCCAGAAAAAAAAAAAATTAGCCTCCTAGCTCTGGCTCCTCACATGGGAAGGAGAGCCCCCACCAAAGCTCAGCCCTCTGTAATTTATTTATTGTATTTATTATATTATTATTATATAGCTAATATTTATTGGATTGTTTTATGCACTTGGCATCAGGCCAGTCGCCTCGAAACCTTAGCGCCCTTGTTTCCCACGGAGGCCTCTGCTCCACTGTGATGTTGCTGCTACTGTCTCCATTCCACAGACATGTAAACTGAGGCCCAGAGGGAGGATGTAACTTGCTTTTAATGCCATCTAGGGAAAAAAAAGTGGAGGCAGTAATCTTGGGGTCTCTGCCTGAGGCTGTCTGGGGAGGCGAGAGGGGCCCCTTACGTCCCCTCTCAAGCCTTTCTCATTCCTGACCACCCGGCCAAGTGTGCCACGTTCCCTCTGTCACCAACGTTTGGGACACGCTTGCTTTTTCCCAGGGGCAACTGGACAAAAACACAGTTGTGCTGCCCCTGACCTAGCTAGGGTCCGGAGGAGAAGACAGGTGTTTGTGCCACACAGATGTAGCGAGGGGGCTGAAGCATTCAGAGCAGGCAGTGGCTTCTCCTAAGGAGTTGAGGTAGACTGAGTAACCCTGAAGGCCGGGGGGGAAACCACAGCTGCCAGAGGCCCAGAGGGCAGGCAGTGGGGAAGCATGAGGCCAGCAGTAGCCATTATGGGAAAAGAGTGACCATCAACCCCTTAGCTGCTGTCCCCTTAGAGAGTGCCAGCTGATGGCATACAGCGCAGCATTTGTCCAGCCCTGCAGGCACAAGCACCACTGTACGGCAGAAATCCCGTGCCCACTCATCTCTTCCCTTGTGGGTGAGCCTCGTACTCAGTGCTGTGGGGCAGGTACCGTTTGTGTGTTCTGGAGAGAGGATGTGGGGGAGTTGCCATTCCTATAGGGGTGACGTGAGGACACACACAAGAATGTGCGCTGCCCAAGCTGTGGGAGCAGTATGGCAGGTGTCTCCATATACGACCTGGGGAGGAGCTGCCCTCGGGACAGGGCTCAAGTAGGGCCTCCCGGGGAGTGGACAGTTACCCTAGGACCAGAGTGGCTGTAAGAGCCAGCTCAACCCAGCTCTGGCTGAAGAGGTGTCCAGGCCGAACCTGCAGCAGGTGCCAAGGGCTCACACAGGGGTGAGCTTGGCAAGCTGACGGGGCAAACGGCAGTGCTGAGCTAGGGGCCTGTGCCGTTACAACTTCATGACAGTCAAGTTCAGAAAGGAAGGGAGAGGGCAGCCTACGGCAGCCCTGTGAGCTGGGGAAGAAATGGGGACTTTGTGCTTCCGGCAATAAGGGGTAAATAGCGTGCTCATGTCTCTATAAACGTCAATCAAAAATGCAAAAGTCTCTTGGAACTCAAAAAGGTCATCTGTAGAAAACA